AAGAAGAAAAAAAGAGGTAGAGAAACAAAGGGAGGAGAAGAGAAAGGTGAAACAGAGAGAAGAGAAGGGAGGGGAGGAAGAAGGTGGGTTAGAGGCTGCTCACTCGACAATTACCTGAGGCCAGTTTAGTGAGGACTCGTTGACTTTCTTCACAGAGCCTGGCTGTAGCTTGTTTATGAGTCTAAAAACAAAATTACAAAGTCACTTTATAGGTCAAGAACAAGGACTAGAATACTAAGCTGATTCCCTGGATGTCAGTAAAGGAAAGTATTAAACACAGTGGTAGAGTATCAAGGCCCATGTCTAGAAACCAACGCCCGTGGAGAGCAGCAGGACAGCAGCAAGGACCGGGGGGCTGCTTACTCGCAGAGGATGATGCCGTCCTTCAGGCCCAGCTGGAAGTTGGTGCCGATGCCCATCCCGGTCACCTCCTCTATCCAGTTGCGCAGATCCTCCTCTGCCTGCTGATCATACTTGGACGCAATCTGAAATACAAGTTTCCTAGCTGCAGAGAATCTCAGTGACCGGGTGACACCCACTCCTGGCTCACAAAGTCCTCTCCAGCTGTGGCAGGCAGCCCTCCCTCTGCACAAGTTTGCTGGCGACCTTAACCGGCTGTTACAGCCTCAGTGATGACGCACAAATTGTTGGTACGAGTGTCCACTAAGGACAGCAGACAGAGAGGCTGGGACCAAGGAAAGAATTCAACAAGACTAGATAGATGAGGTTTTAGTCGTGACACAAGGGACAGGATTTAGCAGAGTATTGCAATAAGGCACACTTAATCACCACATTCCAAAGGATGGAGGGATTCCCACACAAGGGACTATCTCACATAGTATCTCAACTATCTAGGACATGCCATTCCAGGAGGTTGGTCTACAACGTTCTGGGATCTGCCTTCTATTGCATCCAATACATGCACGCACACACATACAAATAAGTATATTTTAAAAGCATCTCTTTGAACCAAAAACAAACTACCTTTAAAAAGATCCTTTCATAATAATAACATAAACCTAAACTTTTATATGTTTTTTTTGGGTTTATTTTTTTTCTTTTACATACATGGCTGTTTTGCTTGTGTGTATGTCTATGCACCATGCCGAGCTCATGGAGACCAGAAGAAGGTACCAACTCGCTGGGAACTGGAGTTACAAGAGGGTGATTCTAACCCAGGAGCTCAGGAAGAGCAATCAACACTCCTAACTGTTGAACCATCTCCAGCATCCTAAATGTTTTTGTTATTGTTTTTGTTTTTTGTTTGTTTCTTGAGACAGGATTTCTCTGTATAGCTCTGGGTGTCCTGGACCTTACTCTGTTCACCAGGCTGGCCTCAAACTCAGAGATCTGCCTGCCTCTGCTTCCCAAGGGCTGGGATTAAAGGCCTGTGCCACCAATACCTAGCCATGCTAACCTTTTGTGTGTCTGTGTGTGTGTGTGTGTGTGTGTGTGTGTGTGTGTGTTTCAAGACAGGGTTTTCTCTGTGTAGCCTTGGCTTGCCTCCAACTCACAGAGATATGCCTGTCTCTGCATCCCTGAGTGCTGGGATTACAGGCATGTGCCATCATGACCTGCTTCGCCCTAAACTTTTTTAAAAAGTGAAAAATAATAAAAATGACATGCACCACACCTTTAACCCCAACTCTTGGGAGGCAGAAGGAGGTGGATCTCAGAGATCAAGATCAGTCTGGTCTACAGGGTGAGTTATAGCCAGGGCTACACAAACAGAGAGACTCTTTCTTGAAAACAACAAAACGAACAAGTAAAATAAAGGAGGAGGAGGAGGCAGTGGCAGCAGATGGGAACAAGACAAGATTATATACTCTTCATCTTTTCGTTCAGCATAGCTAAAAATGCCAACGAAACACACGCAGGCAGGAGCCCAGAGGCTAGAGATAGGAGCTTGGGCATCAGTTACAATTGTCAGAACTGGAAGTGAGCAACAGGGATGCCTGCTGGCCAGAAAACATAACCAGGTTTAATTACTGAGAGATGCACATCACTCTGTTGTCCAGGATGAGGTCCTTAGAGCTCAGACTCAACTTGTCAGGCAGGAGCCAAGCACAACATAGAAGGCTGCACTTGTCCTTTCTGAGAGAGAACCGTGGGTCAGCAGGGCCAGGGTGGACATGTAAGAAGCTGGCTAGGACATATCTAACAACCAACAGTGAAAGTCAGCACGGAGTCTTAAAAACAAACAGGCTCAGCTGACTACACTTGACTGTGGGTCCTCTTCAGGTGACAATGGCGGCTTTACAGTCCCCCCCCCCAGAGGTGTGCACAGATGTCATTTCTCACAAATACATGAAAGAGTCACACCCTCCGCTTGCAGGGTTGTGAGAGCGTTCAGATAGGACCAGAGCTGCTGCTGGAAGCAGCCTCCCTTCCCCCATCACCAAGAGGAGGCTCTGCTGCAGGAAACAAGATTTCAGGGATTAATTATGTGTCCCCTTCACACTCCATTACTCATAATTAGAGAAACAGATCGGATAATGGATAATTCACTTCAACTGTGTGTTTACTTAGCCAGGTTACAAAAGGAGCCCCAACAAGTGTCTACTGCTGTGATAAGGCAGCACTGCAGAGCCTCACAGATCAAATCCAGCCTGGAAAGGAGTTTATAGAGACAGCCCTACAGTACAAAGCATGCCTCCTAAGCAAGGTTCCTGCCTGTGTACCCTCATTCCTGGAAGAGGTCTACTTTTATCCCCTGCCAGCCTGGGTGACACTGGGGGCGAGGAGGGGGAGCAGGAAGGAGGAGGTATGGATAGTGGAAGATCCGGCCATCAGAGATTCAGTGAGGGAGAAGCAGGAAGCAGCAACCGCCCTCCTACTCAGGCAGCCATAACTTATCCCCTTCCCACAGCAAACAGGTCCATCTGCGTGTGATGCTTCCTCGCTTCGTTAAGCATCGACCTTCTGGTGCTGTTCCCGGCTCCACAGCAGCAAGACTGACTTCGACGAGTTCACCAAGTTCCTTCTAGTTGTCTACACAACCAGGTCAGGCGACAAGAACTATAGACACATGGTGCAAGATATACATCGGGCAAAATACCCATACACAGAGAAGAAATAAACCTTAAAAAAAAAAGTAAGGAGATGTCGCATACTTGCAACCCCAATACAAGAAGACAGAGCTAAGTGGAACGGAAAGCCAATGTGGGCTACACAGGGAGACCACGTTTGGGGGTGGAAAAATACTATCTTGCTTTTTCAAATATGGAGATGAAACTGTTACAGCGTTTTGTTTCGTTGTTCTGTGCAGAATGGTGGTGATTTTTTTTTTATAAAAATAATCTTTTATTACTGTGTGTGTGCATGATGCAAGAAGAGGGAGTCAGAGAACAACTTGCAGGACTTGTTTCTGAGGCGGGGTCTCTGTTGTTTCCACAGACGGTACAGAGTTCAAATGGAGCTGTCCTAGAACAGAGGGACAATGTCTCATCTAGATACCACAGACTATTTAAAAAAGCCCAGCACCAGGTATGGGATACCTTTTTTGAGGGCATCCTATACCCTCATACTATAGGATGCCTTTTGGGGTGCCCCCAAACATCATAGGCTATTGCCAGTCTTCTTGGTTACCCCCCAGAATTTGATGCTAAGACCCTAAAGTCACCACAAACAGTTGAGTCATAGAACATGGAAAAATCAAGCTGGTACTGACCTGGAAGTCAGTCTCTCTCTACTGGGAGAAGAAAGTAAACAGCTCTGAGCCCTGAAAGCTAAAAAAAACAAAACAAAACAAACAAACAAAAAAAACAGCCTGGCAAGATACGGACACTAGTGAAATGGAGGAATGAAGGTTACAAGAATAACCAATCACTTTCTGATTGGATGTAAGGCTCACGCCACACAACAAAACTCATGACCTGGCACTATTAATGGGCTCAAGAACCCATGGCTGCCCAAGTCATAAGAACCTAGATACTCTTATCTTGCTAAACGGACATAGGAATAAACTGCACCCTAAGCGCTGAACACCTGTAGATCATGGTTCAACCGTCATCAGAGATGCTTCTTTTTGTTTTCTTTTTCTTTTTTTTTTTTGCAGTAGATGGCAGTTAATGCAGAGGCCCACAACTGGTCAGCATGCACAGAATAACAGACTATGGAGTGCTCAAGCCTAAATGGGACATCCGCATCTCAGGCCCTGACCCCAGGGTTCAGGGATCCCTGCAAAGAGGGGGTGGAAAAGCTGCAGAAGCAGAGGCAGTAGACATCTGCAGCAAAACGCAGCTGCCTGGCATGACAGGGCTGCTGTACACATTTTCTCACAGCTGTGACCACATGCTCAAGCCTTGCACAGGATCAAGGCAGCCAAAATCCCAGCAAGGAAGGACTCAAGAGGAACCCTCTCCTAGTTGAGGAGGTATTGGCAAGCGAATGATGGAGACTGGCAGAAGGAGAGTTTTCCTCAGGGTGTGATCCCAGAGGCCACACATGCTCTCGCAGGTGACCCTACACTAAGTGGACTCAGTGGGTTTTAACAAAAGCACATGGAGTTGGGAGGAACCGGGGTGGGCAGAACGGGTGATGACTCTCATCAAAACATCACATGCATTATAGAAATTTCAAAACACTTAAAAAAATTTTAGCCAATACTATTCACTAGCCGATTCACTATTTTCACCTTAAAAACTGTCATTTCTGAATATAAGGTTAAAATGGCATTTCCACCTTGTAACAAAGCAAAAGTAAAAAAAAAAAAAAAAAACACAAAACCAAACCAACCAAAACAATAACCCTAATGTTAGAATAAAGGTACAGCCTACAGAAAGGAGGAAAGATACTTTGCTAGGTCAAGTGTGGCTGTGCACGCCTTTCATCCCAGCACCTGAGAAGCAGAGATGAGTAGGTCTTCAAGTTGAAGGTCAGCCTGATGAGTTCTAGGCCAGGACTATCTAGTGAGACATTGTCTCAAATAAAACCAAAAACAGCCCAGAGTGGTGGGGCAAGCCTGTATCCCTAGCACTTAAAAGGCAGAAGCAGGCGAATCTTCGTGAGTTCAAGTCCAGCCTGGTCTATAATAAAGCGAGCCCAGGACAAACAGAGGACAGTCAAGGCTACAAAGAGAAACCCTGTCTTGAAAAAAACCAAAACCAAAACAACAAAATCCAAGGGAAAAAAACCAGTTACAGTTAAAGGTATTAATATCTAGAATATACAAACAACCTATAAAGAATTTCAAATAATGAAGCAGACAAATTTCATCCAATCTATATATAGGCTATGAAACAGCTATCAAGAAAAATACAAATAGTCAATAAATACTTTTAAAAAACGGCTCAACAACCTTAGAAATCAGAGAAACGCATATTAAAACTGCTTTGAAATTCCACACCACTCCAGGTATAATAGCTGTCATCAAGAAAATAACTGACCACAGGTGACAGGATCTGGGGGAAAGGAACCTTTTCATACACATGGAGGATAGAAAGTATAGACTTGCAGAGCTGTGTAGAAATCAGTTTGGAGGCTC